CTGCCACTGATGAACCCGTGCTGATTGCCCCTAAGCATGCAGTCCCCTGCTGGCCCCTCCTGGATGTGTGCCAGAATTATTTTCTCAAACAGCTTGCCTAGGATCGAGGTAAGACTAACTGGCCTATAGTTTCCCAGGTCCTCCTTCCTCCCTTTTTTGAAGATTGGAACCACATTGGCCGTCTTCCAGTCCTCCGGCACCTCTCCAGTGCACCACGAGTGCTCGTAGAGTCGTGCCAGGGGACCTGCAATGACCTCGGGTGTGTGCTTTGAATCTAAAAAGGTTGAGAACCACTTATGGTTATACTATGATCCATTCAAAGAGAACTTGATTCTACAAGGGGTTGAGCACCCAGTTGAGAGGAGTCTGTACCATACGGGATTGGGCCTCAGGTAAGGCTATTCCACTAGAACACAGAATACATAAACTCGGAAGACTCATCATTTATAACTTGTGTATATTATTCTTTTGTTTACTTTTACTGAACTTTGCAACTGGGCAGATTCAAACAAGAAATCCATCCTCCTAATCCCTGTCACACTGATCTACTTTTAGTGGAACAAGAAAATGTATATTACCTTACCAATGCCACATCTTGTCAGCATTTCAGCAGTGACACTGCCAACTCCACCAACACCTACTACTGCTACTGTAAAGGTACGGATTTTCTGTGATAAGAAAAATAAATATAGATCAGCATTAACAATGTATTTCTCAGGGGCAGAAAAGAGTTTTCTGAAATTTAAATATAAGCATACCTCATAATCTTTCACAATTCCCATTCGTTTTAATGCCATCAGGCGACTAGGTAAAAAACAAAACACAAACATTGGTAAGGAAAGAGCCATCTTAATAGTCATTTATAATTTTGTTGCTGAATATAAGATTCATGCTAGTCTCTAATTTACCTATGAGAAAAACACTGAGTGTAAAGCAGCATTCAGATTTTTTAAAAGGAGTTCTTTAAAATTACAGTTCAGTGGTTTATCTTTTATTTTTATTGACAAATTAGACAGTGTAAACTCAAGACGAATACAATACAGCTGTTTTGTAAGTTTAAATGAAATATTATAAACATTCAAAAGCATATACAATGAGCTGCTGGTTTTGAAAACCAACATTAGCATTAAACATATATTTCTCTACAGAAACAATAATCTTCTTTTCTTGTTTCAAATACAATACAGTTGCTGAGGCAAAATCCAAATTTCATTTGTCCATTTTGTAACAAGTAACTACTAGTAAGAACAATTCAAAATGTCTGATTTGTTTTGGCTTTCAACACACCTGCTCTAGTCTGAATAATCTCATTGAAATCAACAGGACCATTTGTTAGACCCTTGACAAATGTTCACTGAATGATAGGCAAGTAAGGCTGGAAGGGCTCTCAAGAGGTCATCTAGTCCAACCGCCTGCCTGAGACAGGGCCATCCTTATACAAAGCATCCCAAGCAAATTCTTAGATCTAACTTACTACCTAAAATTACACAAGTGACTCTGCTACACAACCACAAAACAGAGCGCTCTAACCTGCCACTGGTTAAGCAGGGAGACAGTGGGGACCAATTTGCTGCTGCTACAAGAGTTGTTAAAATATACCTGAAAGACCCAAGGAGGGCTTTGCCTCTGCACTAAAGGGGGAAGGCAAAACAGCCTGTATCAACCATCTGTACCAATCTAACCATGGCATAATATTCCTTCCTGATCTTAAATGTGCCAGATGATCTCACTCTGAACAGAAGTGCAGGACCCTCCAGCCAGGAACCTCTGGGTTTGAGCCCCAGCAGCAGCACTGGCCCATCTCCAGGCTTGGCTGTGGCCAACACCCAACGCTTCTGAGGAAGGCAACGTCCATCTGTCCCCAACAAGCATAGCAACAAGAGAGGGAAAAAAATCCTTCTGCGTGTGGCAATCAACAAAGCCCAGAAGCATGGGAAATACCCATGTAGTAAAGCAAAAGCACAGTTACTCCTAGATCATCTCTGACCAAACCTCTGCAACATCTTTCTGAACACTTCCAGTGATGGAGAGTCCACAGCCCCCCTGAGGAAGCCTGAGCCACTGCCTCACTGCTCTAAGCAAGGAGGTTTTCCCAGAGAGCCAATCTAACCTGCTTTGGCTGCAACTTCAAGCCACTGGTCCATGTCCTTCTCTCCAGAAGGAAAGGTGCTTTTCCTCCTCGTTATTGCAGCCCTTGAAGTATTTGCTGGTACATCCCTTCTTAACGGCCTTTTCCGTAGCTGAGAGTCACTATTTCCCTTCAGTCTCTCCACCTTGGGTTCACTTCCCAAGCCTTTGATAATTTTTGTTGCCTGCCTCTGCACCAACTCTGAATTAAAGTTCACGTAAAAGCACCATAAGATCTGATCCTCAATCCCCACAATTGTGTTGCCTGCCATGCCACACACATGCGTGGTAGGAAGAGCGCTTTTGGGCATGGGGATCAGCTCCCTGTTGCACCCTTTCGACTTGCCAGCACCGGGAGAGTCAGGAACCCAGGTCTTCCCCCACTCCCCAGCTGTAAACCAGATGCCTGCAGGCCTGGGCTGACAGTCAGCTGACTGCAGGCCCCAGCCTCAGGGCTGGCTGGAGACCCCAGTGACTGGTGCTGACCATCAGCCCACGGCTGGGTCGGCCAATGGTTGATGTGGCTGCCCTACCCGATGTGTGGAGCATTCGTAGGGCAGGTCTCCCATTTATGAACCCCTTCAACTAGCTGCCAGGGTAGCACCTGTGCCCTTATATGACGTGATCCTCTGGGAACTGCACCATAAGTGTAATGTACACTGGGTTCTGCACCATAAAAATAACATGGGGAGGAGGGGAGAAACCACACCACGAGTTTAACAGGCACTGGGGGACTGTGCTGTAAGTGAAATGTGAATGGGGGAGGGAGGAAGAGGAGAAGGAGGGACTGCGACATAAGTGTAACAGGGGGGAGGGGGGTGCCATAAGCTTAACGTGCAGGTGCCATCCCAGAGCACGGCTTCTCGTTCCCTGCCCCGGGGAGAGCCCGGCCGGGGGAGGGCCCCCGCCCCCTGCGCACCTGTAGGGGTTGGAGTCGGTGACTTCCGGGCTCATGCGCTCGATCCGCGCCCGCGGGCCCGGCCCGGCCCCCGCCCGCAGCGCGCGCAGCTCCTCCTCCAGCTCCCGCACGCGGCTCGCGTCGGACGCGGCCATGGCGAGACAGCGGCAAGCCCGACCCCCGCAGCAGAAGGACACGTCGCGGCTACAACCGCAGCTTACACCGCCCCGGGTACGCCCCCCAGCTTCCGGCTTCCGGCCTGCAGGAGCGCGGCGCATCCTGGTGACATCAGAGGGCGGTGCTCCACATGGGGAGGGCACCATGGCATCTGACTGCCGCCTGACGTCACGCACGCTGGTCGTAGATCCCTGAGCCGTGGCGGAGGAGACGGGTACCACAGTGGTGCGGTCGCAGCAGCGCTTCGAGCAGGCGGCGCTGGAGGTGCACCTGTGCCGCTGCCTGCCGGGCTTCCCCGTGCGGCCTGCCGGCACGCTGGCCCTGCGCTAGTACAGGTAGGGCGGGGGCGGAGTCCAGGCCAAGTTGTGTGTCCAGCCCTCCCTGCTGCCGCTTTCCCCGCGCAGGTCCCTGGGGACTTAGCTCTAGGCATGGGCCCGCACCAGCTCTTGCCCACGCCTAGACCCGAACTGTTGCGGGGCAACATGTATTTCTGAAGAAATATAGCATCTAAAATGAGAACAGAGGAATAATCAGTTAATTTAAAAAACCCTGACATTCCTTTTATTATATAATCCAAATCTATAAATGAGATTCAAGTACTGAAATGTGATGGCATCTTCATATCTATCAAGTTCTGCTTGTATAGCACAGACAGCATGTGCAGAAATCAAAAGGCCAACCTTCTGAAGGTATGCTTCTTTTAACGACTTCTTCCCTCACCATAAGCCTCCAAATTGCCCAAGGTCTTGCAACACTTTAATTCCCTTTATATGAATCATCACACCACCCATCCTAGCAGTTCCAACAGACTTCAATCTCAAGATGTAATTCCTTCAAGAACAGTCAGACTCCTTGGATTTAAGCCTTCAGTAAGTAGTAGAACAAAGGTATAACACTATGTACATCAATAAAAAACTTCATATTTATAAATAGTACCTTTATTACTTTTAATACTTGAATATTGCTTATTTAGAGTAGTCAGTCATCACAAAGCTGTGATTAAGTGCTTGCTGCAAGGGAGCCCTGAACTAGTTGAAGCCTCAAAATCACATCACTATATAAATTATTCAGTAAAAGAGTAGATGGGGTTAATTCAGAAGCAGATTTTGCCATCAGCTGTACTTGTAGGTCCTCTTTAAATCAACTCTGTAGAAGTACAGATGTGAGGATGAGATACTGCTAACTGTATGTTCAATAGCTAGATCAGGAAAAAAGAAAAAGTATGCATGTCACAATGTTTTCTAGGGGTGTAGGTTGTAGCCATGCTGGTCTAAGGACACAGGCAGACAAAGTTCTTTGGGTGATTCTAACATCTTTTATTAGACCAACTTAAGTAGCTGGAAAACAATTACTAAGCAAGCTTTTGGGTTCAAAAACCCTAACTTTCTACTTTCTCTAGAATACTCCAGCACCAACATCTCCTTTTTAGACACAATCAGTATCCAGAATGATAAAATACAGGCCACCTTATACAAGAAACCCACAGACCAACATACATATCTGCACAGAACCAGCAATCACCCTAGAAACACCAAAAAAGCTGTGATATACAGCCAAGCCCTCAGATACCACCAAATTTGCACTAAAGAGAACACCTGGGATTGCCACCTCACCAATCTTAAAAAAGCTTTCACCCAAAAGGACATTCCTCCAGAGAGAGATCACACGTTTGAAAGAGCCGCCTGGATACCACGTGAAGAACTGCTGCAGTACAGAAGAAAACTACCCACAAATTGCACACTGCTGGTTATGACATATCACACCCCCCTCAAACCTGTACAGAAAGTCCTCAAACAATTGCAACCCATACTAAAAAGAGACCCTATTCTTAAAAAGATATTCCCAGAGTCACCCATCCTAGCCTTCAAACAAGCACCGAACCTCGCTAACCTCATCGCCAGAAGCAAACTTCCTCAAGCCCAGAACATACCAAAAGGATCCAGACCATGCCATGACAATAAATGCAAAACCTGCCAACACATCTCCACCACCCCCACAATTACTATACCCTACAGCAGAGCCATCGGCATTTCTGGATCTTACAGCTGCACCTCCAGAAATGTAATATATCTCATCCAATGCACCAAATGCCTGGGTGGAAAATACGTAGGAGAGACCAAACAACAACTGCACACCAGAGTGAATGCACACCGGAAATCTATCAAAGACAGGAATACTCAATTACCTGTGGGGGCACATTTCTCCCAAGAAAACCACTCTCTCTCCAATCTCTCAGTTCTGATCCTCAAAGGAAACTTACAAAACACTTCCCAGAGATGAGCCTACGAACTCCACTTCATCAGCCTCCTGGATACTAAAAATCATGGACTAAATATAAACATTGGATTTATGACACATTATAACCTGCCTGACATCTAACTCCCTAGGTATCTCTCCATTATTCATCCCCTTCTCTCTCTTCCCCCCAATCCCCTGCCTATCTCTCACCCGTTGACTCCTCAATCTACATTGTCACTGACTACCTGTCTTGTATGCATACCAGCCCAGCCTCTGGCTTCTTTACTTTTCATTCCATCCAGGAAGAGCACACACCAACTACAGAAACTTCCTTAGCCTGACGAAGGATTTTTGAACCCAAAAGCTTGCTTAATAATTGTTTTCCAACTGCTTAAGTTGGTCTAATAAAAGATATCAGATTCACCCAAAGAACCTTGTCTACAGTGTTCTCCAGGCAGTGATGTGTCAGGATGGCTGCGGCCTTGTCCAGTGTCTGGAAGAGCCCTGAAGCCAGCCCAAGCTTGGCTTCTAGAGCAAGGGGGGAGGTTAGTTTCCTTTCCATTCTGAGACCCTAGCCTTACAGTCTCTCACCTTCCCTTATTCTCCATGGCCCTGACTCAAGGACAGAATCCAGTTCTGCTCCTGAAAGAGGGACTTCAGCTCTTATGGGAGAGACCCAATGCAACCCACAATTCCAAGCAGCTCAGCAGGTAGTTTCTTCATTAAAGGGGATTAATGGGGCCAGCCAGCCAGAAGTTCTCCACCCCCTCCAAAGGGGGCAAGCAAGATAAAATTGCTCTGTCCCCAGTCCAGCCTGCATAGCTCTGAACACCGTTAAAGATACTCAGGCTGTTCCCTTTGCAGTCTTTCTACCTCCCAGAGCTCCTCCACGTCTCTGGCCAGGTGCTGCCAAGCTGCCTTTTTTCCCAACCTGCTCTTCCTTTGTCATGGTTATCTTCTCTGGACATCAGGGCATCTCACATTGAATAAAGCCATTCAAGACTGTAGATCCATCTCATCTCTGCCTGCAAGTAGCCAGCTCTTACCTTATTAGCTTGTGCACAAAGAATGAAAACTCAGGCACACAAAATGTTCCCCACACATACAGGCTGGGGAACTCCCCTCTTGTCAGCACGGAGGTGGAAAAGGATCTGGGAGTCATTATTGACTCCAGGATGAACATGAGTCGGCAATGTGGGGAGGCGGCTAGGAAGGCCAACTGCACCTTGTCGTGCATCCACAGATGCATCTCGAGCAGGTCCAAGGAGGTGATCCTCCCCCTCTATGCGGCACTGGTCAGGCCGCAGCTGGAGTACTGCGTCCAGTTCTGGGCGCCGCACTTTAAGAGGGATGTGGACAGCATCGAGAGGGTCCAGAGGAGGGCCACTCGTATGATCAAGGGACAGCAGGGTAGGTCCTATGAGGAAAGGTTGCGGGACCTGAACCTGTTCAGCCTTCAAAAGAGAAGGCTGAGGGGGGATCTTGTGGCCTGTTATAAACTGGTTAGGGGGGATCAGCAGGCGCTGGGGGAGTCCCTGTTCCCCCGAGCGCCGCAAGGAGTGACCAGGAACAATGGTCACAAGCTGGCGGAGGGAAGGTTTAAGTTGGACATCAGGAGGCGCTACTTCACGGTCAGGGCGGCTAGAGTCTGGAACCAGCTTCCAAGTGAGGTGGTGCAGGCTCCCACCCTGGGGGTTTTTAAGAGGAGGTTGGATGACCACCTTACTGGGGTCATTTGACCCCAGTGCTCTTCCTGCCATGTCAGGGGGTCGGACTAGATGATCTGCTCAGGTCCCTTCCGACCCTAGAAACTATGAAACTATGAAAATAATGACAACAGTTTATCAAACAGAAATATCAAAATAAAACCCGTGGTCCTTCACAGTGTAATGGTTTGGTAAATTGGAACTGGCTACAGAGAACACAGTTAAGGTTCATGATAAATTTAATCGTATAGTCCTGTAATGTATTTACTGATGTTCCTATGTGGTGTGCATTTAGAATGCATATATAAAAAACATTAGTTTGGATAGCTGCCTCAGCTAACGAATTCTACAGATCAGAATTTGAAAAAAACTTACATGATACCTATACACACAAACTTTAAACTACTAGCCAACATGGTCTCCCTTAGACAGACTCTGAAGTGCCAAAAGTGTTACTTAAATGTTGCTTGTTAACCATATATCCAGTTATATACCCAGTTGAGTGGATAACTTATTAATTTTTATTTTTGTGTACTCGTTGCATAAATCTGAAAAAGCCCCAAACATGGAATGCTTCTCTTTCTCTCCCACTTATATCCTAAAATACTTACACATGCACACACAGTCTGTGTCTGTTTATCTCCTCCCCTGGTGAAGTCTCCAAGACCAGTGTGTAGAAATAATATTAGTTTTTGGGGAGTTGGTTTTGTTTTTTTAAGGAAGGTGTCATTGTCTCTTTTTAAGAAAGTGACTTTTGAGTGAGCTATATCCAACATGATTTACAATAGTAGTATTAACGTAAAGTAGCAATGGAGTTTATGAAGTGGAAGAAAGTGACTTACAAACACACCCTAGTTATATGCTCACAAACCCTGAATGTGGAGAGAGAAATGAGAGTTACTTTGAACTCTGGGATGTCCAGACCTTCCACTTAGTGAATGTTTAACAGGACATATTTATATTGTGTGTCCATACTCTCCAATATTTGATGTAGTGTAAGAGTGATGATGTAACCATGATGGTCCAGAAGTCATGAAAAAGGTAATGATTTCTTAGGGATGTTATTTTTTATTGGATCAACTATGTCATTGGGGTAAAGTTAGACAAGCTTTTGAATGCAAGG